TTTTTTTTTTAATCTACAAAAGCTTATTTGGAGAACCACTCTTTTTCAGACTCCTCAAATTGCCTTCTTTATTATCTATGCTATCCTACACCACACCAGAACTCAGTGATGGTTTTCTGTATTTGCTAGGGTGAAGGCAGTAAGATTGCTTAAATTAGGCCATCAGACATTCTAATGCTCCAATCACCTGGGTGGCTAATGTTTTAATTTGAATAAAACTGTGTTAAAATTCACTTCATATAGGCAGGAGGAGAAAAGGAAATATCAGAGGTGCTTTGGTAAAGATGAGAGGAACTACAGCTGTAGACTTTCCATTCATCAGGTAGAACTAGAATTTATCTAGTTTTGCCATTTCTTTACAAGAATGGCTCCCTTATAAAATTCAGGACAGTGAATAAGAAGTGTCTGATTAACCTTTCTTCAAGAAATTAAACTTAGTTTGTTAGAAAACCAGAATCAAATTCTTTTTTTTTTTTTTTTGGCTGAGGCTGGGTTTGAACCCACCAACTCCGGCATATGGGGTCAGCGCCCTACCCTTTTGAGCCACAGGCGCCACCCCAGAATCAAATTCTTATAGAAAAACCGTTCTAGTGTTCTACTTTTTACTTACTCTTAGTTGGTATTAGCTCTGTCCCTACTGTATTTTGTTTTTTCCAAAGTTACCAAGTAGGCAAGATCAACTGAACAATAAATATTTGAGGACTTAAACAGATTTTAACCTTCTATTTATGGAACGTTTGCTCACTGAGTCTTCATGTTAATGTTTAAAACAATTGGATATCACTCATACTTTATAAAAATGGAAATTGGAAACCATGGTCATCAGAAAATTAAGTGTTTTATTCAGGTTTTATCATAACTAGAATTTATATTTTGAGAAATATTACTAGTAGTCATTAAAAAAAGGTGTCTACTTTTTTGTTTCTTTGTTAACTGACCCCCCATTCTTTTTTTTTTGAGACAGAGTCTCAAGCTGTTCCCCTGGGTAGAGTGCTGTGGCATCACAGCTCACAGCAACCTCCAACTCCTGG